TGCCCATTCACCGTATCCTAGACTACCTCGTGCAGCTCAAGAATTCTTCTCTCAGCTGCGCCTCTATTAAAGTGCACGTTGCCGCAATCACTGCGTTACACCACGCTGTAGATTGTTATTCAGTTTTCTCCCACCCGATGATGCGGCGCTTCATGAAAGGCTTGACTAATCTCTTCCCACACCAAACACAGCCAGCGCAGCCATGGGATCTAGAGCTAGTTCTTAACACGTTAACTCAAAAACCCTTTGAGCCCTTAGCCACATGCGACTTGCGCACTCTCACAATGAAAGTTACCTTTCTCATTGCAATAACTTCTGCAAGACGGGTTGGTGAGATAGCTGCCTTATCCGCTGTACCCCCATACGCAGTGTTTACCGATCAAGGAGTCATTTTACGTCCTCAACCCACTTTCCTTCCGAAAGTGAATTCACAATTTCACATCAATGAACCAATAGTACTTCCCACTTTCTATCCAAAGCCCCATGTTTCGGCAGAGCAAACTTGGTTACACACTCTGGATGCCAGACGTGCCCTGGCTTTCTACATAGACAGGACTAGGTCCATCAGAAAGACAAACACGCTATTCGTGTCTACAGCCGACTGCTCTAAGGGTCACCCATTGTCAGCTCAACACATTTTGTCAATCATTGTGAACTGCATAAAGGAATGCTATGCTCTAAATAGTAGACCGCTGTTGCAGAATCCGACAGCTCATTCAACACGTGCAGTTGCTACATCAACTGCATTCTTAAAGGGCGTCCCTTTAAAAGACATTTGCAGGGCTGCCACATGGTCGTCAAACTTCACCTTTGCCAAGCACTATGCCATTCCCAACCTTTACCTTCCAGAGGGAGCAGTGGCAACAGCAGTGCTGTCCACAGCTGCAGCACGATAGCTCCGAACCCCCCTCCTTTCAGGGGCTACTGCTGCATATTCACCTATAGTGGAGCACCCACGGGACACTGCTCGAAGAAGAAAAAGAAGTTACTCACCCTGTGCAGTAACGATGATTCTTCGAGATGCGTGTCCCGTGGGTGCTCCACGACCCGCCCTCCTCCCCTCTTCGGAAGTATCATTTTGTCTTTCAGACCAAGAGGATCAGGAGGAGCTGGCGGGAGCCGGACCGCACGAATACAAACTGTGCGAAAGAGCACGAGCTGCGCTTCGCGCATGCGCGGTCCGGCAGACTACGGCTACAAAAGTTCTCCGATCTGCGGCGCCGGGACAAGCCCGACACCTATAGTGGAGCACCCACGGGACACTGCTCGAAGAAGAACAGAAGTTATTTAGAAAGAATAGAGAAACAAAAATCTTGGTATTTTTTTTAAAAGTTGCCCGATAATGGAAGCATCAGTATCTAGAGAATTTCACTGTTACTGCAGTCAAGTCATGAAACTCACAAGTCTAAGTTCTTGTCTACTCAAACAATTTGACAGGAGCAAGCTACGGTGTGAATTTACCCTGCAATAGCCTGCCATGGTCAGTCTGTGCACCCTCCTGACACACAGAATGGCAGGACTGGAAGGGACCACAAAAGGTCATCTAATCCAATCCAACTGCACTCATGGCAGGACTAAACATGTGAATAATTGTCCCTGGACAATTAATTCCAGTGTTTGACAACCCTGACAGTTAGGAACTTTTTCCTAATGTCCAACCTAAACCTCCCTTGCTGCAGTTTAAGCCCATTGTTTCTTGTTCTATCCTCAGAGGCAAAGATGAACAAATTTTCTCCCTCCTCCCTTTTAGATACCTGAAAACGGCTATCATGTCCCCTCTCAATCTTCTCTTTTCCAAACTAAAGCCCAATTCTTTCAGCCTTCCTTCATAGGTCATGTTCTCTAGACCTTTAATCATTCTTGTCGCTCTTCTCTGGACCCTTTCCAATTTCTCCACATCTTTCTTGAAATGCGGTGCCCAGAACTGGACACAGTACTCCAACTGAGGTCTAACCAGCGCAGAGTAGAGCGGAAGAATGACTTCTCGTGTCTTGCTCACAACACTCCTGTTAATGCATCCCAGAATCGTGTTTGCTTTTTTTGCAACAGCGTCACTGCTGACTCATTCAGCTTGTGGTCCACTATGACCCCTAGATCCCTTTCTGCCGTACTCCTTCCTAGACAGTCACTTCCCAGTCTGTATGAGTGAAACTGATTGTTCCTTCCTAAGTGAAGCACTTTGCATTTGTCTTTATTAAACTTCATCCTGTTTACCTCAGACCATTTCTCCAATTCGTCCAGGTCATTTTGAATTATGACCCTATCCTCCAGAGCAGTTGCAACCCCTCCCAGCTTGGTATCATCTGCAAACTTAATAAGTGTACTCTCTATGCCAATATCTAAATCGTTGATGAAGATATTGAACAGAGCCGGTCCCAAAACAGACCCCTGCGGAACCCCACTTGTTATACCTTTCCAGCAGGATTGTGAACCATTAATAACTACTCTGAGTACAGTTTATCCAGCCAGTTATGCACCCACCTTATAGTAGCCCCATCTAAGTTGTATTTGCCTAGTTTATTGATAAGAATATCATGTGAGACCGTATCAAACGCCTTACTAAAGTCTAGGTATACCACATCCACCGCTTCTCCCTTATCCACAAGACTCGTTATCCTATCAAAGAAAGCTATCAGATTGGTTTGACATGATTTGTTCTTTACAAATCCATGCTGGCTGTTCCCTATCACCTTGCCACCTTCCAAGT